CCGTAAGACCTTTGTTCATCTTCAGAACACAAATTAAGATATTTTTGATAAAATCCGATGGCTCAGAGAGGCCATTGACAGCAAAGCCACCCAAACTTTCAGGATCCATAAAGGTACTAAAGACGTCGTTAAAACAGTCGATGTGACTACAGTGGTTCTACAATAATTTTATGAAGGGACGAGAATACTTTTTGTGAGCAAAAACAAAACAAAAATAACGACTTTATTCAACAACCTCTTCTCTTCTGTGTCATTCTCATACGTTGTTTACATTATTGGACGGCTCCTGCATCAGCATCACACGCATGCGTCGCGCTGCTCACATGTGCAGCTTTGGCCAATAATGAGCCGGCATTCAGATGTAGAACACGTAGAACATTTTTCGGGTATTTAAAATGCACTTTTTCTTTTTGGAATTTTCAGTGTGAACACATTACTTGCACTATTTATATTACAAAACGTCATAGAATAGTGCATAAGTACGCGATTTGGGACACACCTATTGTCTTTTTAATTTTAATGTCATGTGTTCATTGTATTGATTTAAAACTTTGTTTCTCAGCTAACTGATAAAAACCTGTGCACCCTCACAGAAGTTACATAGCAGCCAGCCAATCAGAACTTGCAGTTTCTCTAGCTGTTGCTAGTTTTGTCTGCAGTATACTTCAGACAGTCTGTGAACGGTATGTGGGTTCTCTGTGGGGGTGTTTGAGACTGAGATTAACTGGAATCCAGATGTTTTGCATGCAAAAGAAAGATCTGACTCAAGTTTCATAATCTGACTACTCAGATTTCAGCAATGTCCTGAAAGAGTCCTTGGTGAGTGTCACATCATTAAGCATACACAAAACATTACTTTTTGTGGACAAATGTTGACAGACCTTCAAAATCTGCATTGCATACTGCGGAAGATTATTTTTCCCATTCCAAACAATCCCAGTTCTTTCCAGTGAGGGTTATTAAATATTTCCAGCTTGGCAATGATTGAAAAAAATGACATCACAAACTCCAAAATCAGGCCGTTCTGACAGGCCCTGATAATGTTGAATTATGGAGATATTTCAACATATTTGAGTGAAATAATGTATTAATGTGTCTTCTGCATGTGTGTTTGATGGCAGGCAGCGGGACCCTGAGGGAGTGTGAGAGTCCATGGCCCGACACACACCATGATAAATTGCTCTCACTCCAGTGAGTGTTACTCATTGGTCAGAGGTTGGGAAGAAAAGCTTCTCAGGACCCAAAAGCACTGTGATGGTACCATAGTACAGTTATGGTTTCAAATGGTAATAATACCACATGCCAGTACTTGTGGTACATGGGCAGTTGACATGAATTTCTCTTAAGGCCATTTTCTCTTATATTTTCATAAATTTGATGGACAGGAAACCATAAAAATAAAGCAATTTTAGCAATTTCAATAACATAGTTGTTGTTTTGCAGTATGCCATCAATATTGCCAAATGTCAATATATACAGTATAAAATATTATTGAAATATATTGGACTTATCTAATTGGGTGTGTTTCCAAAAAGAGCTCGTCATGAATTTACATATTACATACCTTAAAATACTAAAAAAAATTAAAACTTAGCTGAAGTATATAAAACAGTATAAGTATAAACAAAATCCAGACTCCTATACAAATATATCCACTACCGTTCAAAAGTTTGGGGTCAGAAAGGTTTTTTTAAAGGCTGCATTTAATCAATTAAAAATACAGTAAAAAACAGCAATACCGTAAAATATTATTACAGTTCAAAATAACTTTTCTGTTTTATTATATTTTAAAATGCAATTTATTCCTGTGATGGTAACACTGAATTTTCAGCATCATCTTCAGTGTCACATGATCCTTCAGAAATCATTCTAATATGAAATACAGTAAAAAACAGCAATACCGTAAAATATTATTACAGTTCAAAATAACTTTTCTGTTTTATTATATTTTAAAATGCAATTTATTCCTGTGATGGTAAGACTGAATTTTCAGCATCGTCTTCAGTGTCACATGATCCTTCAGAAATCATTCTAATATGCTGATTTGCTGCTCAAGAAACAATTCTTATTATTACCAGCGAAAACAGTTGTGCTGCTTAATATTTCTTGGAAGAGTGGAACATTTTTTCAGGATTCTTTGATAAATAGAAAGTTCAAAGGAACAGCATTTATTTAAAATAGAAATCATTTGTGACATTATTGATTTCTTTACTGTCACCTTTGGTCAATTTAATGCATCCCTGCCAAATAATGACACCTAACTTTTCCCCCTAATGACCTCAAACTTTTTGAAGAGTAGTGTAAAGCTTTATGTTCATTTTCATGTCCATTTGTCAACTGCCCATATACATGTACCATGATACTGAGTGATTACCATATCCATGTACTATGTAATTTACATGGTACTCTATGGTATTTCCTCAGAATACCATAGTATTAACATGATCAAAAATGCACTGTAATACTAAAATACTTTTTGATACTTTTATGCATTTCTGTTATGTTCTTCTAGTTTATCTAAAGAGCTCTTCTACTGAACACTGCTCACCTACTACAAGACTAACCTATTTTAACCTACAGACCATCACACAACAAACTGCACTACTCTATGGACTTTAAACCAGCTCTGACCTGTCAACGTGCTTACAGACGCTGATGTACCTGGAGTCTGGGATACTGTGACAGGTTGGACTGATCCTGTGGTGGCTGGTGTTGAGGTCAGTTGGATTGTGGGTGGTGTTATGGATGTAGTTATAGACATTGGTGCAGTGGCAGGGTCAAGCGTAACAGCTAGTGTTGGCACTGAAAGTGAAGAACAACATTATAACCTGTTTTTTTTCTTCTGGCAAATGACTGGAGGTGCACTAAGTAAATTTTTCCGGTCTTTGAATTGATACTGACACCTACACTACTGGTAGTATCATGCAAAAGCAAATGTTTTTGGTTTAAAATGACATTGATTTATACCCGGTTCAGAAGCACATTAATCACACGTTATTAATTAATTCGACAACAGAACGTGTTGGAAAAATGTTGGTAGGATTCAGCTGGTCATGTGATCTCAATATGGCCACCACCAAGAGAAGAGAACTATCTTATCTAATTAAACAGCTTTTATGCAGCTGATATAACTAGATCGTTAATCTCATGCGAGTCTAAACCATTTGAAACTTTTTCAAAAGTGCCACTGATTTCTTCCGATGCAAAACTTAGTAATATACAGTATGTGCCACTAGCATCACTAAAAACGCAAAAGTTTCACCTTTAAGCTGGAAAAAAATACCAAGTGCACCTTTTCACCTGGAAAAAAATTCTTCTATATTCCTCATGAGATCAGTCATCACCTCAGATTTCCAACAAAACAGCATTAGACCCCCACAAATGGGCAGAACTGCACTGAAATTTCCTATAACCTTGAGTGCACCCTCATACATCACTAGCCAGCATTACAATGCTTTGCGTCTTACAGCACATGAAACATTTATGAAGTAGAAAACTGTGGAAAAATGCATCACACCATCAGAGTTCACAGTGACAGTTAAGGGACGGATCAGAACCGACGTCTTGTTAGCGACATGAAATAAAGAGGCCAAAAAGAGCAAAAAAATAAAAAAACAGTCAGCGTATTCCATTAGCATGCCACTTACTGTCAGACGTTCCCGACGCCTCACCTGCAAACAGAAAGAGAAGAAGATAAAACAAATGAGAGAGTTTATTTCTTGTGGATTTATTTTATTTATTCCTCTACCTCTCTGGAGCACATCTAAGAGTTAAAAAATGCAGAAACCTGCCTCGCTTTTGCATGCAGTGAACGTACAGTAGCGATGAACTGTACATTTTTCCAATTCAATATGCCTGTTTTCGTTTCATTGCTAAATTCCATTAGCATGCCACTTACTGTCAGACGTTCCCGACGCCTCACCTGCAAACAGAAAGAGAGGAAGATAAAACAAATGAGAGAGTTTTACTCATTTATTTTCCAAAACACTCCTGTGGGTTTATTTTATTTATTCCTCTACCTCTCTGGAGCACATCTAAGAGTTAAAAAATGCAGAAACCTGCCTCGCTTTTGCATGCAGTGAACGTACAGTAGCGATGAACTGTACATTTTTCCAATTCAATATGCCTGTTTTCGTTTCATTGCTAAGTTTACTTGACAGCTTTGTGCTATTCTACTTTCCTTAGCGAGTGAAGATGCCCTAGTTTTCTACACAGTACGTAAATAATTGATTCTTCTCAGGTGTTGTGCGCATTACTGAATACAGCAGGTGTATAATTCCTACAAATGTTCGGGGAGCCGTTCGGGGTGGGCAGGTATGAGCCGGGCTTCCAGGACTTGGCTTTGAATCCTCTCTCGCAGGCCGAACAGTCTTGTCCAGTGGTGTTGTGCTCGCAGTCGCACTGAAAGCTCCCGTCACGGAGGGAGCACTGACCGGCGTGGAGGTTACACTTACACCTGTGAAAACAGGGAACACCAATTAGCACACTTGTTACATCGCAGCCACAGGCAAGGGCGAAAGCTGCACCACTGAGGACGATTCCCACCTTTTATTTGTTAGGGTCACTCGAGGTAGCTCATTAGCTCACCTACTCGGCTCAAGAAATCAGCTAGGCTAATTAGTGGAGCCAGACACTGTAGTGCATGGCTGAAACAGTACCTGTAGGGAATATTGTGGATTCTACAGATCTTTACGTTGTGGTTGAAGTGTATACAGTTATAAAAATGGGGCTTTTGGACCAATTTCGGGACAGTCAGGGACAAAAATCGAGACTTGATTTGTATTGCTGGCATGAAGTTAAAGTGTTTTTAGTTTTTGCTTAATTACAGTGCATCTGGTTAGGAGCATGTGCACTGCAATAAATCCTATTATTAATGAGTATTTTGTCTTATTTTCCAGTTAATTTATAAAAAATTCAGACAAGAAAAATGTACTTGAATATCAACTCTATATTAGATATAGAACTAAGAGGATAGATGTATATCAATATATGAGTGTATATTGTCTTCATGCACTGGCTTTTTTTTTATTTTATTTTTTTAAGTCTAAACATGATATTCTGTATTCATGTGAAAAAAAAATCTGTCAGTACAGTGCAGTGTTATTGTAAACTAAAACTATTAAAAATCAAAAATAAATGTTTTTGTTAATTCAGATAAAGCTGAAATCAAATAAAACAAGGTAACACTTTACAATAAGGTGTCATTTGTTAACATTAGTTAATGGATTAACTAACATGAACAAACAATTAACAATATATTTGTTACAGTACTTATTCATCTTTGTTAATGAAAATACAGTTATTCATTGTTTATTCATAGTTCACAGTGCATTAACTAATATTAACAAATACAACTTTTGATTTTAATAATGTATCAGTAAATGTTGAAATTAACTAACTAAGATCAATAAATGCTGTAGAAGTATCGTTCATGCTTAATTCATGTTAACTAATACAGTTAACTAATGAACCTTATTGTAAATTTTTAGCAAATATAAATGGTGAAAAGAATAGATGAAAATGTTTAGATAGATTTTAGATTTCTAATTTTCATTTAAGTTGATTTACTAAAATTATTAAAAATGAAATAAAAATAAATTAGTTAAAAATATTTTTTTAAATATACATGACAAAAGCACATAACAAATTTAAACTTAAACTTAAAACATAAATTAAAATGTATTTTGAAAATATAAAAATAAATTAATTTTTAGCAAATATAAATGGTGAAAAGAATAGATGAAAATGTTTAGATAGATTTTAGATTTCTAATTTTCATTTAAGTTGATTTACTAAAATTATTAAAAATGAAATAAAAATAAATTAGTTAAAAATATTTTTTAAAATATACATGACAAAAGTAAACTTAAACTTAAAACATAAATTAAAATGTATTTTGAAAATATAAAAATAAATTCTTATTCAAATATGAATGAATATTTTCATAGTACATAAATGATACTAAAAAACACTGGTGTAGACGATATCTTTAATATGAGTGTATTTTGTCTTAATGCACTGGCATATATTTTTTTCAATTTGTTTTAAGTATAAATAAGTTCAAATCAAGTGAAAAATCTGCCAGTCTGCCACTAAAAAAACTATTAAAATAATTTTATTAATTTAAATAAAACTGAAATAAAATGTTATTTTTAGATGAAAAAATTTAACAAAAAAGTAAACCTTTTTTTTTATTTCAGTTAGTTGTCAAGGAAACATTTCTAATTTGTGTTTAAGTTGAAGTATTACTAAAATGGCAATAAAAATAAATTAAAGCCAAGTATAAATATTTAAAAATGAATAAAAATGACAAAAGCATAACAAAACACTCTCAGATAATTTTACTGGAAAACAAGTGGGAAAAGAGACAGATTCTCATAAAGAAGGCTTTTTTTCAGCGTGTGGTCCTGACCACATCTGTCTGCACTTTTCTAGAGATTAGTGTGATCATTTTTACTTTCCAAGATGTTTCTTATCTTTCATCATTGTCAAGAATCTTCCCAAGACCCATGTTTGTAAGCACTATAGAGTCTGTGTTTGTGTTTGTTGTAAATGCAGGTGAGTTTGCTTCTCTTTGTCTCTGATGTTGGAGATCTTTGGGGACAGTAAACAGCATCTGTCTTCTCTACTCCAAATATAGCCACCGTCTACTGGGGGGAAGGGAATACCTCAAGAAAGATGGAATGAACAAATGAGAGAGAGAGAGTGAGTAATGATTATCGCTAGTAATGAGAATAAATGGGGGATATTGAGATGACCTCGCCTTGTCTCTCCTTATCGTTGGCTTTATAAGAAAAATCTTGTGATCATTTTTACTTTCCAAGATGTTTCTTATCTTTCATCATTGTCAAGAATCTTCCCAAGACCCATGTTTGTAAGCACTATAGAGTCTGTGTTTGTGTTTGTTGTAAATGCAGGTGAGTTTGCTTCTCTTTGTCTCTGATGTTGGAGATCTTTGGGGACAGTAAACAGCATCTGTCTTCTCTACTCCAAATATAGCCACCGTCTACTGGGGGGAAGGGAATACCTCAAGAAAGATGGAACGAACAAATGAGAGAGAGAGTGAGTAATGATTATCACTAGTAATGAGAATAAATGGGGGATATCGAGATGGCCTCGCCTTGTCTCTCCTTATCGTTGGCTTTATAAGAAAAATCTGCAGTGCTCCACAAAATGTCGCTTCCCTCCTTTGAGTTTATGAGGAATGCTCCGGCTATCTGACAGCCAACTTTAAGGATAGTTGAGATTAAAGGTCTGGGGAGGAAAGCAGGTTAGTATGGAAATGACGACTTTTGCAATTACAATCTCTCTAATCAAATGAGTGTGTAAATCCCAATGCATCAGATTTTTTTCATCCTCACTAGAGCGAACAGCTATCCATTTGCATGAAATATTTATGAAGCTGACCTATATATTTCCATGCATATTCCCTCTGAAGATTCCCTTGAAGAAAGTGATGCCAGCACTTACATAATTTATATAAATAAATAAATAATTGTATGTATGTATGTATTTACATTTTACATAAAAATGCACATACATTTTTACATAATTATGTAAATTATATTATATATATGTTAAATGTATATATATATATACAGTGGGTACGGAAAGTATTCAGACCCATGTATGTATGTATGTGTATATATATATATATATATATATAATTTATTTATTTATTTATTTTTAAATAGGGCAGAAAAGAAAGTGACACTGGCCAGACTCAAACCCTAATTTCCATGTGCAAAACAGGTACTTTTTTCAAATCTGTTTCCAACATTTTTTTGAAACATGAATGATACATTATACAGGATGGTTTACAGAGTGTGATTTTACTCAATTTCATTTACTTAATTAGGTCTGTTTTTTTGAAAGCCTGAGGAAACAGACTCCAAGCCACCCTCTGGAGGCCTTTAATTCGTAATTAAACCCCAATGTCAATCTCACACTCTTTCATTCGGCTGTTTCTCCAAGACCAAGTGCCCATCAAGCTCCTATCATGACAAATTAATCAGCGGCGGACCACTTCATTGCAGAGATTCTCACCTTAAGGAAGACCTCTCTACTTTTGAGAGGCAGCGCAGATCTAAAGCGAGTGTTAATCAATTAAAGCACGGCAAGGTCTCGTATCAATTTCTGACCAAATCCAGGGTGTGTGCTTTACAGTCTTCTTAGGTACAGATTGGAATTAGAACCCACCTCGTGAGGAGCGATGAGAAACGGAAGAGAATGAGTCTATACTGTATAGAGGTGTATGAAGAGTGTCTTGCTCCATGTGTTTGTTTTGCTTGAGTTGCATATTTGGGTGTTTTATATCTATAGACACTTTTATGTTCAGTTCTTTTTTTTTTTAACTAACTAAAACTTTTGAACAAAAAGTACAAAAAAAAAAATAATAAGCAGCACAACCATTTTTAGTAATAATAATAAGAAATGTTTCTTGAGCAGCAAATCAGCATATTAGAATGATTTCTGAAGGATTGTGTGACACTGAAGACTGGAGTAATGATGCTGAAAATTCAGCTTTGCATCTCAAGAATAATTTCTTAAAATTTTATTAAAACAGAAAACCGCTTTTTTTAAATTTTACAATACGACTCTTTATTTTTACTGTATTTTTATTTTATTTTTTTTAAATGTAGCCTTAGTTAAAATAAGACACTTATTTCAAAAGCATTAAAGAATCTTACTGACACCAAACTTGGTATGGTAATGTATTTATTCTACTTTTCAATTTCCTTTCATGTATAAATGTTGTTTTACTCTAAAAAAAATTATTTAAATCAAATGTTTTACAATAATTACGACCCTTAGCAGTTACATCATTTCCACTACAAACACCAGATTTGCAAAGTTATTTAATTTTTTTTATTTGTGTACTTGGTTACTAAGGAAAAAACCGCTTCAGAGAAGAGCATCCTTGAGATGAAACAGGAGAAATGTGATGTATAAAGAAAAATCAAGGTAAATATCACTAATTATTATTGTAACCTTATATTTCGTCATTTCCAGTCAAGTTTTAATTTAGTCAAATTATGCAAAAAGTATGAAAATTATTATATAATAATTGTATTTGTGTTGGTTTTCTTCATGTGTATATATTCATGTGTAAATATAATTCTATAAATTCAGCACTAGCAAGTCCAAAAATGTCATTTCCACCACAGAATGCTGTTAAATGCAATAAATCATTAAATATGATGGAAAAGACATTGTAGTGAAAATATTCACGATGTTTTAGAAAAAAAAAATACAAAAATGACAGAAGTGAGCAATATACATACACACTGTCATACAATAGTGGGGTAATTAAGCTAGTGAGAGTATGAAAAGTGTTTTGAGAAAGTTAACACAGGAAAGAAAGTGTTCCTAGTCAAAGCAACACCTAATGAAGGTGCATTCAGCACATTTAAACAAGTAGTGTTAAATCAGGAATTGCATCTTAAACAAAAGTTG